AAAATATTGCTGATATGGATATGATTAAAAATGGAGGCCACAGACCTAGAAAATGTGCTTCAGATAGTAGATTATATTCATAATAATCACCAGTTCACTGGGCACTTGTAGAAAGGAGAATAGACACTTAACATTTCACACATGTTCTGTCTAGCCGCTTGCTCATTTCTTCTTGCTGAACAGTCTCTACATCCACCTCAGGTTGGCACAGCATGCTTTACACGTCAGTTCAAAGCAAACTTATGAAGGAATTTGGGTTTGTAATATCACGATTTTGAATACCAATTCTGGGTATAACCATTATTTCTTAGAACTGTTTCCACTGCATCATGAAGCGGCACTCACTATTGTCTGCACCTGTATTTCTGAGATTTGAAATAGTAAGATGAAACTTACATGACACTGCGAAGTTACTCCCAATCAAATAATTTACAGATATAACTCTAGGTTACATAGGCTAAATTCCTGTCTATCGTTCCTCCTAAAATCTTGAGTGTAAACACTTAGCAGCTCACCTATGTCATCCTGACCAGGCCCCACAGCTGAGAAGAACAAAGATGCTTTAACTCACTACACCGTCAACTCTCTACATCATAATTCTTTGCCCAAACACAGACTGAAAGCAAAGCAAAGGCTCGGCCCTATCTAGTTTTGCTATTATGCCTTGTGACATGATAGAGAACCTGTGCCCAATAAGAGGTGGTTTTCAGTAAGGTGGAGGTGCCAACTACCTCCAACTGGAAAAGGTTCCAATAGGATAGACCCTCTGACCCTCCCGGGAGTTGTCCAGCTGTGCAAGGATGCTGCTGCCACCAGTGACGCCCTCCACCCCGCCCCCCACACACGATTTTACCTGGCCTTGGGCATTTCCAGCTGCCCTGTCCTTCTCCTTGTCTTGGGCTTTCTGCTTTCCACGAAAACAGTCAGGCAGAACAAGAACAAAATGAGTCTTGTAAAATGAAGCATTTTGTGAATGTCTGTGATGCCAAGCTGCCTTCTGGTAACCTGCAGCAGGCCAAATCCTCCAGGGCTTAACCATTGACTCAATCTGCCACCTCGTGATGCTGTTCCCCAGATGGGCTTCCAGGGTACAGCTGACAAGGCTGATGTTCTCAATTCGATATTTGCTACTGATGCTTGTCCCAACCACTGCCTTGCCCCACCCCCTACCTCCATGACAGGAGCAGCAAGGTTTTGCCCTCTCTGCTGCTTAGTGATCTGGACATTAGTCAACAAGTTTGTCCTGTGAAACTCTGGTTCTGCTGAGTTTTAGAACAGCTTTGGCTAAAACTATATAATATATACATACTTTCTTGAACATGCCAGCTTTTTGCTGAAACCATTCATGTGTCTTTGCATAAAGCCAATCTAGCACATCTACCAGGAAGTTAGCTCGGATTCTGAGTGATCTGAAGGGAAGACTTGGTGGACATGAGACAAGCACATAGTGTACAGGAAATGCTGAGTAAACACACAAGTGCCCCTTTTCACAGGGTTGCTTTAGGAGAGTATGTTTGACTATAGCCAAAGATGCTTGCTTTTCTCTCACATACTCATCTTTTGCAGTGAAAACACATCAGTGCATAAAGCACATTTCAAATTGGAGTCAAAGTGTGAAGCAATTTTGATTATGAAAGCTCTTATTATGATCATTAGGTTAACTTTGGTTTTAATCCTAATGTATATAAAAATCATACATTTGACTCCTAGTCTGATACGGGCTATGAACATTCGAAGTGTGAAGATGCGGTTATGTTTAATCTGTTGAACACAATGTTTAAAAAGCAACTTATTTCTTGCCTACTGTGCCCTGGAAATAAAGAGTTTAGACACAAAGAGGAGGATGGATGCCAGGAAGAGGGATAGGCAGAAATGAAACAGAACTGGGGACTTATTATGTAACAAAGAAAGAATCAAAGAATGACAGGACTCACTTTATTTATTTTTTTTTAAGTCAATACTAACTGGGATCAATTGGATCAAGGAAGTTATAAAACAAAAGATGATGAGGTTCCATCCTAAGGGATGGGGAGAGGAATAGAGATAAGAAAAGAGATAGCCAAGTTATTTCTGCAAAATACCCTTGGTGACAGTAGTGTACTAAGTGAGAGAAGTCAACAACAATATGTAGGATATCTGTTTGGGGGCAGGTCTGCAGGTGGTACCTCCATTCACCAATGGGCACTAGGAGTGGATGAGTTTGATGAGATTAATTTTGACTTGTGGACTGTGAGGCACCATGAGACCTGCAGATACCCAAGAGGCAGCAGAAATATGACTATGGAGGAAAGGTCTGAATTAGTGAAATAGATTTGAAGCTGTCATTCGACGGTGGTAGTTTAACCAGAGGAGAGGATGAGGACTTACAGGCCAACAGAGGTCCAAGTTCAAGGAGGGGATCCTGGAGAATCTAAACTACTAAAGATGATCAGGGGCCCTCCCTGATGGAGCAGCGGGTTCAAGCACAGAACTAAGAAGCTAAAGCCACTTCACCATGAGTTCAATCCCCACCCGCCCCAGAGGTGATCCACATGGCGTGGCAGACCTCTCCTGACCTGCCCACTGCTCCCCTCAGCAGTGTTCTTCAGTCGGCCTGTTCTGTTCCCCACTCTGTCTCTGGTGACCCTCCCAATGCCTCTGCACCTCTGGCCTGTATGCATAAATAAATAAATCTTTAACAATAATAATAAAAAGATGATCAGCACAAAAGAACTAGCAAAGAGGCTGACTGAAAACCAAAGGAGAGCTTCAGGGAAGGTAGTCACAGGCAGTGCTAATAAGTGAGGGCAGAAAAGAGGTTACTGGGTCTGGCAGCCAGAATATTGTTCAATTTCAGTTTATCGGAGTTATAGCAGGAAGCCAAGCTGCAATGGATTAAATAGGAACTTGCGAGTAGGAATAATTCAAGATAGGGACCAATTCAGTAATTCTCAAATCTGGTCACTCAAAATTATCAGGCAATTTGTTTAAAAGTACACTCCTGCTGAGGGAAGTGCATGGGACTACAGTGATGGCACACGGGTGACTCGGTGATGGGAAACCCATGGGGATTACAATTGAGATTTTAAAAAAAAAATGTACAAAATGATGTAAAAAAAAAAAAAAAGTACACTCCTGCTTAAAGTTGGGTGGGGAAGACCTTTTCTCCCAAAATTTTTTTTTTAAGATCTCCTTTTGTTTGGGACAGGTTGTGAAAGACTGACTAGACCCCTACCCCTACAGTTGTGCCTAGATTTTGGTTTTCAAGTAATAATTGTTTTGTTGCATTCCAGATATAACTTTAATTTTTTTTTAACTCTTGTTTTCCATATTGCAATAATTGCGATAAGAGGAAACCAGTTGAAGGTAATTTTTTAGTAATATCTTTATTGAAATATTGACATGCTATGACATTATCCCCTTCTAGTGCTTTTTAGTATATTCAGAGTTGTACGACTATCACCACCATCTAATGTTAGAACATTCTCATTTCCCCCCAAAAAAACTCAAACCCACTAGTGGTCACTCCATACTCCCCCTTTCTATCAGTCTTGGCAATCATTAATCTATTTTCTATCTCTATGGATTTGTCTAGTTTGGATATTTACATATGGTAAATAGTCTTACCCTATATATCTGTTTGTGTCATAGTGTTTCCAACAGTCACCCATGTAGCAGTATATATAATTTCATTTCTTTTCATTACAAAGTAATATTCCTTTGCTTAAATATACACTTTTAAATTCATTCATCAATTGATGGGCATTTGAGTTTCTAGGGTTTTTTTGTTGTCACTAACCATAATGCCATGAGTACTCACATGCAAGTTTGAGTTTGTGTGACATGTTTTCATTTTTCCAGAATATATATTTGAAAGTGGAATTGCTGGGTCATGTTAACTTTTTGAAGAATTATCAAACAACTTTTCAAAGTGGCGTTCCCACCAGTTATGTATGAGAATTTCAATTTCTCCACATCCCTATCAACACTTATCTCTTTTATTCTAACATCATAGTGGGTGCAAAGTCTATTTCCCTAATGACTAATGACACTTAGCATCTTTTCATGTTTATTGACCATCTGTGTATCTTGGTACAAATGTCTACACAGATTCTTTGCCATTTTTCATTGAGTTAAAGGTACTTTAAATATTTTGGATGCAAGACCCTTACCAGACACATGATCTGCAAATACTTCCTCTCACTGTGTTGTTTTCATGAAACATAATTTATCTACTTTTTCTTTTGTTGCTTATGCTTTTGATCTCATATCTAAGAAATAACTTCTGACAAAATATATAATTTTTATTATAGCTTATTGTTTCAGATACATTTGAGTTAATTTTTGTATGAGGTATGACACAGTGCTGTATAACATTTGTTTATTCTTCTCAGCACAGAGGATTGGCCCTAGTAGCTCAAGGTCAGAGTTGTGGAAAGGTCTCAGGAGAATTTACTAAGGTCAGATTAGACCAGTGAGCTAGGAACTGTGGCCACATACAACTTCGTATCCTATACTATGAATTTGGCTTTATCTCTCTTTTTTTCCTAGGCATACAAGAGTTGGGGTATAAGCCAGTGGTATGGGCAGTGAGAGGATTCACCTGAGACACAGTGGAGAGCAGAACAGGCAGACTGACTGAAATACACTGCTGAGGGGCACAGTGGGTGGGTCAGGAGAGGTCTGCTGCGCCATGTGGGTCACCTCCCTGGTCAGGGATCAAATTTGTACTGCAGTGGCTGGCAATAGCTGATAGTACTGAGACTTAACCCCATGCACCACCAGGGAGGCCCCTGGCTCTATATTAAAATAGGAACAGATTTGTGTGTTGAAGATGATTTAGGTTACAGTGAGAAGCAGGAAAAGGCAGGAGACATGTTAGAGGTTATTGCACCAATTCAGAGATAAAGCTAGTTAGAATACTAACAGTGAGCATGAAGTAGAAAGACGTGAGAATACATAGGAGGTAAAATAGACAGGAGATAAAACTGATGGCATAAAGAATACAACCTTCGATCAAATAAAGTATGAACAAAGTCACTGGTTTTATTGAGCAGCTCAAACTAGGTCTGAAGGCAACCATTAAGAGGCATTCCAAATGGTGTTTAAGCAACGTGTATCCTCCCAAACAGGCTTGCTAGTACATGTTAATGTGCACATTATTCTTTATTAAGTCAGGTTCATTAAATGCATTACCTTTCATATACTTATTTGCAAGTAATAAAACAATATAGACTTTTTACTACTTCAGTCTTGGTTTCTGCTCAAGTATTTGGACTAAATGGGTGAGGTTTGCTTGTTTGCTGATTCTGGTTTATATAAAAATGGGAGGTCTCAAGATACTGAAAGGCTAGTTGTAGCCAAAAATAACAAGAAGATTTCTTATTCTCCTAAAATAGGAAATTCTACATTTCCATTGTCAAAATAATAACTATTTTAAAGGTTTTTAAACACTTAAATTGAGAATTTTGATGAAATCCATTTATTTCAGTAGAATAAAACAATAAGCAGCATGAAAATGTAAAGTGCTACATAAAAGGTTCACAAAACATAAAATTTGAAAGGTTTCATAGACTTAAACAATTACAGGTGAAACAGACATTATGTTTTCCAAGCATGCTGTTGTAACTGCCTTGATATGTAGTCATTTGCTATATTGGTCATACTTACTTAAACACAAGTTACCTAAAGTTGAGGATTATGGGGAAAAGTTGGAAGATTTTGTCTTCCAGACCACATCCTGCTATATGTTGTAACTGAGGACTTTTAGTGGGGCTTTAAAGAATAAGTTTTCTGAAGAGACCATTTCCAGTTGGTTTTGAGTAAAAATGGACCCACAATGAGCATTACCTCCCCAATGGAGGTCAGATTGACAACTTAAGCATTTTTAGGTAGCACACCTGAGGTGAAAGGGAAGGAGCAAAATATGGCACTTTCAGATACACGTGTCAAGGGCTAAACTATCCTGATATATGTAAGAAGGTGGCCTGTATGCTGATGGGTAAGGTAGGAGGGGCAAATCAGATGGAGAAGGAGCTGTATAATGCAAAATGTTCATTTGAAAGTATTGGTACACCCCATGGAAACAAGATCACATAGATTAAAGAGGCCTGCAGAAGTCTGAGTGGAGCTGACGGGCAGTGGAGAGAAGATTGTTCCTAGTATACTATTAATCTCAGCATAGGCTGCATGCACACAGATTTCCTTTTTCTCTGGTAAAAAACTATCTGGTCTTCGCAGGTGGGTTGGTGAACCTTGTAAGGAGATCATCAACCACTGAACCAGTATTTCTAATACCTTAGGTTCTAAACTAAGACTTCACAATGTATTTTCTCATGTCAATAAAGTTGTAACATGGTAACCTATCATTTTCCTAACATGTGAGGTCTTCATAAAGGCCTTGAGTTCCTTTCAGCCTTTACCAGCTTCAGCTATAAATATAACAGAACAACCTTTACATTTTTAATTAAAGTTTAAGACAACTGTGGCTTATATAATAGTATACACTATGTTCTGCCTTTAAATGCAGACATAAAACTATCAGACAAAAACAGAAATTATCTGATGGTTGAAAGAGCCTAAGTCCCATAGCAGAAGTAAAAGTTAAATTTGCCTTTAAAAAATCACTTTACAAATTGTTTCTCCCTTCCCCATAATTTCAGTTAACTAAAACTACATGAGCACTTTATGAACACCACTCTACCCCCACCCCTCAAGTATTCAATGTACATTATGGACTAACTTTTACAAACCAGTTTAGAACCTAAACAACATTTACAACTCTGAGTTGTAAAAAAAAATTAACATACAAGTGCACCTTCAGAGCATAAGCTATTTGAAAGCTGGGGACAGCCTGTATTTGGAAATTAAATCTTCATTAACAATACTCTCAAGAGTGCCTTCAATGCTATTACTGAGCATGCTGAAGGCACTCCTTTTCTGTGATTACAGGTTCTCACCAAGCATTATGATGATAAAATTATCCACTATATGTGGAGCTACCTAACACTAAGTTATAATGATTCTGCGCTGGAAATTCTTTCCTGGAATTTAATTAGGTGAACAATTCTAAGTGAAGATTTTTCTAATTTCTACCACTGTTACTTGGGCCCTGAGCTTTTCTATTAAAATGGTATTTGAAATATTTCAACATTATGCAAATTCCTGAATAATTAAATGTATAATGATTACAAAGCTAGGCATATAATATACACACTTCAAAGCAGAACATTCAAATCTTTAGGTCTCCCTCCCTTTAACCCCCTCAACATTAACTTCTGAAAGAAAATCAAGTAATTTCTTGGTTTAGATTTTCCTTCTTTAAAGATCTATGGAAGATTGTCTTCTCTCTTTTGAAATCTGGTATGTTTATCAGAGAGAAGAGAATAGCATATCTAAGTGGTTACAAAGCATCATTCCTCTTCAAGTCACATCAATAGTAAAGCTGTAAGTTCATCCCCTCATGAATGTTTGACTGAAACAGCCACTTTCACAGAAGAGTGTTCAGTACACAAAATCAGTCAAAGTGGGCAATCTCAATCTGTCTCATGAATGGCACTGTAACAAGCAATTTGAGGGGTTTCACTTTCCCTTTTTAACTCCTTTATCCCTATATCATTCTACTTAAGTAGAAACAGAGTACTCAAGTGATACTGAGTAACTAGTAATACTTTTTGGAACTTAAAACACCATCTTTTATCCAAAAATTTCAAAGGGCTATACAGAAAATATCACAAATTTACACAAAAAGAAACATGAGGCATGAGAAACAACAGTAAGTTATTTCCCTGTAAAGCAGGTCATATCGTGAGACAAGGAACTATGACTTTCAGTTCCTTAAACTTAGCAGGACAGTCTGAATATCTACCTATATACTGAATTTATAAGGATCAAAAAAAGGAATGAAGGGAAAATACAAAATAACCTTTTGTAAACAATTCTCAGATTATACCCAATGCAGAATGTTTAATGAAGCAGTTGAGTCACAGCTCTTAAGACATAAAACAATATTACAACTCAAAGTCAAATATGTACTCATTAGCCAGATATATTCGTCGGAATATGAGGGCTGCCAATGCTAAAGTCAAGATGACAATCAGTACAGCTGACCCGCCATGATCAGTGTGGTTGTCTCTTGGCTGCTGGCCCTGGATTACATCTGGTGAAGTAGACAACCTTCTTTGACTCTGCTGCTGGGCCCGGCGTTGTCGAGGGCTCATGGAGGTATTCTTAGCTACAGGTTGGGCAGGTTGTTGAAGGGATGTTGCAGAGGGGTTCTGGACTCCATACTAGGAAATTTTAAGAAATTTTGTTTGAAATTGGCAAAGAAAATATGTATGTATATACACCTGTTTTCTATTCAAGAATAAAAGAATCTCAGAGCACAAATTATGTCTAAGGGAAAAACTAGCAAGATTTACTTGAATATTCAGACTAAAAATTCACCCTTCTGATTAACCAGCAACACAAGTTACTCTGTACTTCTCTGCATGGAGGAGAATTTACCAGCAACAAGTAAGACAAGGCCAAAGATGACCATACTCTCTCCATGTAGGATTTTCATCTTCCCTCCACTGCAACTCCAGCAGTATATGCTAAATACCTGGGGACCTCCCTTCTTCCATGAGAGCCAAGGACAGAATTCATTTGCTTTCTACTTTGTTTGAAAATTTGCCATTCTAAAAATGGAAAAAAAAAAAAAAAAAGAGCAACTCTCAAATGTGCCTTTTATGAATCAGGTTTATCTTGCATTTTGATCTACTTCACCAACAATCACCGAGCATGGGAGATCATTTCAAACTAAGTTCTTCAGAGCAATGCTGTGGTTTCAAAGTCCTTTACTGTGTGTTTGAACTATATTACTTTATGTATGTAAAGCATGAACTATGTTACTTTACTGTGTCAAAGTAAAATTTGTACTGAGAAAAATTTGGAGGTAGTTCTGGGAGACCCAATATATCTTCTACATTGGCACCTACTTGCCTCCACAAAGGAATGAATGGCAACAGCCTTCTATCCTTTCAATGACTACACGGTCAGGATAAAACAAAAGTGTGACACAAAGTGATTCAAAACTTAAGTATCATTTACAAACAAAAAAGACAAAATAGGAATTCCTATTTATTTATTTATATACATTACCTCTACCTCTAGTAACCTAACACCTTTAATTCTTTTATTGAAAACAACTTTATACCAACTATAATACTTTTCACTAGAAAAAATTTCAATAGTTAGAAGAAAAGAAGTACCATGTGAATAAAGTAATTCAAATACCTTTTTTTAAAAAATGTAAGGGACTATGGTGATGGCACAGGGTGATCTGGTGATGGGAAGCCCACGGGGATTACAACTGAGATGGAAAAATGCACAAAATGCTGTAAAAATAAACTATTGTATATTTTTAAAAAAATGTAAGAGAATGGGTTTGTGCTGCCAGCAGCAAGCCACATTGGAGGGAAAACTGATCAAGTTTCCTGCACAAGAAACTAACTTTAAATTTGACATGCATCTCAATATCAAAGGACTTAAACAATCTGAACTTCTTAACCCCATCCTTTAGAAGCACTTAAATGTAATGATCCATAACATAGAGCCAGAAAGGAACTACACTTCTGAATTAAAAGCTAGTGCTGGCAATGGGATATTACTCAGTAATCAAAAGAGATAAACACATATTTTTTGCAGCAACATGGATGGAGATGGAAGGCTCACGCTTAGTGAAGAAAGCCAGAAAGAAAAGGAAAAATACCGGATGGTTTCACTCATAGCAGGAGTACAAAGGACAGGGAGAAAATAATAATAACAACAAACAACTATATACCAGAGACATTTTATGGGGGTGGAATGAGATAAAAAAAATGGGGGGATTTATGTTTATTGCTGCTTTATTTACAATTGGAAAAACATGGAAGCAGCCCAAATGCCCAAAAGTAGATGACTGGATTAAAAAGATGTGGTACACATATACAATGAAATATTACTCAGCAACCAAAAAAAAGAAATATATGTCTTTGCAGCAACTTGGATGGCGCTAGAAAAGATCATGCTTAGTGAGATAAGCCAGAAAGAAAAGGAAAAATATCAGATGGTTTCGCTCATAGCAGGAGTATAATGGACCAGGCAAGAAAATAATAAGAATAATGAACAGCCATATACCAGAGACATTTTGTGGGGGTGGAATGGAAAATGGGATCAAAAACGGGGGGTTAGGGAGGGAAGAGCACGGGACTATGGTGATGGCACACGGGTGACTCGGTGATGGGAAACCCACAGGGATTACAATTGAGATTTTTTTAAAAAAATGTACAAAATGATGTAAAAATAAACTATTATATTATAAAAAAAATTAAAATTTAAAAAATTTAAAAATAAAAAAAATGGGAGGATGAGGGGAAGTGCACTGGACTATGGTGATGGCACATGAGTGAACTTGTGGTGGTAAACCCATGGGGATTACAACTGACATGGAAAAAGGCACAAAATGATGTAAAAATAAACTATTATATTACTTCAAAAACAAAGTGGACATTTAAAGTAAATTATTCAGTAACTCTAGGGAAAAAAAAAGCTAGTGTTGGGACCAAGTTAGTGCTACATGGACTTAGGTACACTCAAGGACTCCTGGGTGCAGTCTACAAGCAGAGAATAGGTGCACAAAGCTGCAGCATTTTACAAGGTCTTACACTATCACAGGTGCCATATAGTGGCTTAACAAATGCTCACTGAGTTCAACTCAATGAGCAATAAATACATTAACATTCTTCCACTTGAGAGTTCCTGTTCTCCCATCAGCCACAGAAGATAAAAGTTCTGATAGACTGAAAGTACTTCAAGCTTATAGGGAGGTGAATTCTTAAGAAAAATAAAAAAGCATGATGTGCTATCAGTTAGGAAATGAGAGGAAGATTAGGCTGCCCACAGACCCAAACCAAACAGGAGCCTTCTCATTACTAGGCTGGCTTTGCCACTTTGTAAATTTGTGACTCAAAGCAAGTTATTTAACCTAAGATTCAGCTCTCTTATCTGCATAAGGAAGAAAATATCTAATTAAGTGGTTATGCGTATTAAGTGGGATGTCATAAAGTGCTTAGGATACATAATTATTTATTAAATGCTATTAGTATTATAATTAATATATTCCTTTGGAGATATTACATTTAGGGTTAAAAATGTAACTTTACTTAGGCAGCTCTTCAGATTTTTATTAGTATTAATTATATATTTGAACAATACTTCCTTAAAACACTGACTTTAGATGACATTTTTAGTATATGCAGTTAATGGAAATATTTACATCGATGTACGAGTTTCAATTAATTCTATATTTCAGGTGCCTTTGGTGAATATATTACTAAAACCTAGTGCTGCAATATTATAAAATTCTAAAATATTTTCTATTTAAAAGAATCACATCAAGGGAAAACTGTACCAACCTCAAGATAATAGACCCTGAAGAACCTAAATTATTTGGAGTTAGACTAATTGCACTGAATTTTGATAGTTCGTATTCCAATGCCAGATGGAAAAGTGAGTTGCCTTTGGCATTTTCAAAATGCTGTAGGTTTGATGGCAGAACTTCTAAATCTTTGATGTTCAAACACACATGCTAAAGGAAGAATACTTAAGCCATAATAGTTCTTTTCCTTAATAAAAATAAAGCAACCACTTCTAGAAGACAAAAGTACTTAATAATTATATAAAACAAAAATCTATAGCCACAGATTAAAATCCTTATAATACATTTAAATTTTTTTGTAGCAAACTGAAATAAACAGCATTTGTGATAGAGTTTTGTGCTTCTTAATACAAAATGGAATGGTATATTCAGAACCTCAATCTCTGGGAACAGGAAAAAACCTAATAGACAGGAGGAACATAAAACTACCATCAATATTTTTCCCACTTTGACATAGTTGACATATCTACCTCAAAAAGCAACAGATGGCTTAATGTTATCTCCTATATTTAGACTCTGGGGATTTAAAAATCACCCCTCAAGGCTAAAAAACTGCTTTTCTGAAATTAAATATAATATCTCAGCAAATTTACATTACACTTGCATGTAAAGAAGCCACCTCAGCCAAAACCAGGTTTAAATCTCTTCCATAATGATCAAATTACAGAGTCACTGAGGTAATTTGTATGTACATCCAATTAAAAGCTTAACCTGCAATTGCAGACAATTCATTGTTTGTCAGTGTTTTAACCAGAATTCATAACAATTATCTTTATCTATGAAAAGTACTTCTAAGTTTTATGTACTTTAAAATCAGAATGGAAGATACTACTGTAACATTCTTGCTTATACAATCTAATTTACATAAATCCAATTTCTTTACCTATATTCCTAGTGTTTTTTAAAAGAGCCAATCCTGAAAGTCATTTATTCAATCAACAAGTATGTTCTAAAATCAAGGCAAGGTGCTAGACACTGGGGATCCTGTGGAGAACTAAAGAGCCCTGATTTCAAAGAACTTAGATTCTGGAATGTGAGGCAGAAAGTAAATAATAAGTAGTAAACTACAATTGGTATATGTTAACAGGGGAACCTTACTTAGATTTAAGAGAGACTATAAATTTAAGAGAGACTAAAGACAAATTTAATTTTAGGAGACTGCCCTTACTTATGAAAAAGGATCACCACCCTCTTCTCTGAAATAGAATACGCTTTTTTTTTTTTTAAAAAAAAAAACTACATATGAAATAAAAAGAACTAGAGATGAAAACTCATTTTAAAACTTTAATATTTCAAGCAAAAATATATACTCACTAAAATTAATTCATTACATCCCTCTGTGACTCATAAAATTTCATGGGGATCACATGAAAGTGATTGAACTTTTAGCATATACTTTTTTCTTATAACCTCTACCTCCAGTCCTTCAAGCACTTCCTTCAGGGCACCTTTTCTCCTGCTTTCTCCAGCCTAATTCTGCCTATCTCACTCTGAGTAAGAAAGGGAACTCAAGACTATTCAGTCCCACTTCATAGTAGGTATTCCTGAGTAAAAAATAGGTCCGTATTTGTCCAATTTCTATTTCAATTCTCCTGACCCTTTAAAATCCTCTATCAACAAGGTATTGGGGGTGGGGTGGAGTGGGAATGTACCTTTAAACCAAATAATCTGCTACCAAAAAGAAAGTTCATATTCTATATATAGAAAGGAAAATCAAACACTGCCCCCCATAATCCCAATTATTTAGCAATGACCCTGTCATATCTCCTTAATCAATCTCTCTGACAACTTAGGTCCACCTATATGTAAACAATAAATCAAGGTACAATAAACAGCACATTTATTCTTTTATTCAATAATTACTGGACACATACTATGTGCAAGGCAGCAATGTCCAATGAAAGTTTCCATACGATGATAATGTTTATACTGTCCAATATGGTAGTCACCAATGTGCTCAGGAATTACTTGAAAAGTGACCAATATGACTGAGGAATTTAATTTTCAATATAATTTTGAATAAAAAGTATAAATTAGATAGCTAGATGTGACTATTGTATTGGACAGAGCAGGTCTAGAGTAAAAATGGCTCCAAATCTTTACTAATTCCTTGACTTGATGCAGTTTAACAAATCTGACAAAAATAGAGTGCCTGTTTACAAACTGTCTAACATATGTATGCTTTATTTTATTCAGAGTCCAACACAACACTGAAATTAACTTTTCAGAGAGAAATCATGGATTTCTGGAGGGATAATAAAGCCTAAAACTTAGTCCAGCCCCTTCTAATAAAAAGGAGACCCAGAAAGTATGTGTAAATTGCTTAGGATAATATATTCATTAGAGGGAGAGCTGGGCTAGAAACCAACAGTTAGGCACATCAAAATATTCATATATTTCATCTAGGGGTTTCTCCCTCTTATTGCAAAAAATGTTATTAGTATAGCTATGTGTAGAAGACAAGAGCCATACCGATGTGCTGCCTGTAGCACCCTGGAACGCTGCAGGTGCACTGTCCTGTAAATCATTTAGTGAAAAAGAGTGGTTTAAGTCCGACTCAGCGACAGTCTTGGCAGACGAATTGACTTCTGCCTACAAAAGATACCCAAAGGCAATGTCACAGTATGTAATGTACAGAGTAACTCAACACAATACTAAATTCGCTCTATTAGACGTAATTGCTACTTTAATATCAACTCTCAATCATGTCCTCGAGCCTGTGCTAGATGTCACAGGAAGAGGTATTGACAGTTCCTGTTCTCAAGGAGCTGTTACCTGGGATGGGCAAAACTAACACCATAGGTCATAATCCACAGTTCCAAAAAGTTGTAAAAACTAATACTTTTGCAATTTTCAGCAAATAAACAGTTGAGGCTATTAATAGTTTTTATTCCAGATTAGTGTAACTACTCCCATAATTAAATAGCAATGACTTAATTATGGAGTGCTGCTACACCCACTACAGGTCTTAATAAACCACATTATGCTTTCAAAAATCTGAAAATTTGATGTTCAAAATACATCTGGCATTGAGATTTTCAGAGAAGAACTTTAAGCACAATAGGAATTTGGAAGAAAACAATCAACACTTACCACATACCTTCTCTTCTAGACACCACAATAAAATAGATGGAAAAAACTATCCATGAACTAGACCTGGAAGACTGATAGGACATAAAGACGTGGAAAGAAGGTTGTGGTAAGTCTACTGCTTGGTGCAGGTAATTAAATTTCAGAAGTAAGTATATGTTTGGGTTAAACATGCAGAAAAAAGAAGATATAAGGGAGTTATGCCAAAATGATAGCAGCATGTATATCTTGGGAATGAGATTAAACATAAGCGTTATTTTCTTTTTTAAAAGATTTGTTTTACTTATTTATGCATACAAGAACTGGAGCAATGGAAATATTTACATCGATGTACGAGTTTCAATTAATTCTATATTTCAGGTGCCTTTGGTGAATATATTACTAAAACCTAGTGCTGCAATATT